CTTCAATAGTTATGATGGTTAGGGCTTCCTAATGGTGATTTTCTATTTTCCTCTTTATTTTTTTTATTTATTAATTAAAATCTGGTATAAAGAAGAGTTGTGTTTTCTCCCCATTTGTGTCAGTATATTTATTGAATTTTAAAATTCTGAGTATAATGTGAAACTAGCATTATTTTACTTTTCCAATTTAAAACTCATAATTTTTAAATTGAGAAAATCCTCTGTGAGCACAGAAGCACCTAATAAGATCAAAGAAAATTCTTATAATGGTAACATATTAAAATTATAATTACTTATACTATAATAATATAAGATATATGTAAACATTTGACTTTAAATGTTTTAATAAGCATTATCTTTTTACCTTTTTACAGCTAAATTGGACCTTTTAGAATTTTAAATGTATTTTTGCAAAATAAATTAAGTAAGCATGCTGCTTCTATTTATGATTTTTGGATAGATAATACAAAAGCAGGTTCAGAATATAACTTTATCCTATTTTAGCTTCAGCAAAACCTTTTTTCCATATTCCAATTTTCTAATACACAATTACAGAATTTCAAAATAAAATATTTTATATAACATGAGCTCCTATTGTCTAATTTTTTGTTTATTTTGTAAGGATAAATTCCAGTGTCTCCTTGTGTATAATTTTATTTTCAATAATTGCAACTTGTAGAGATGAAAAATAGGAATTTCATTCTTCCACTTGTTAAATATTTTAACAAAGGCCTCTGACTGATTCTGAATAAAACATAATACAGTACCAGAGGCCTTGTTTATAATAGCCCACAGCCAAAGAACACTGTTTGATTTATAAAGTAGTGCTTCAAAGAATCGAACACCTCTAACAACCGATTAACGCCCAGCAACAATGCGTACTCTCACAGAAATACAGTTATTTTAAGTTCGGCATTCACTTTACCCCCTAAATATTGCTGTACACTCTAATACTGTGTATTGTCTTACTTTTCTCCTTGCTGAGACAAAATACCAAACACCCACCAATTAAGGGGGAAAGTTTATTTAGCTCACAATTTGTAGAGGTTTCAGTCCATAGTCAGCTGACTCAAGGCAGTGGGACAATGGTTCATGGCAGCAAAACATGGCAGCAAAAAAGACAAGCCTCTTTCTGTCCCTTATGTTGTATCCAGTATACTGCGGTTAGGGCAGTGCCAATCAGGGGACTGATCCAGCAGTCACCCCTCCTTAATCCCAGCACCCTTGATCTCAACACTTCAGGACAAATCAATCATACACTCTAGATTCAGCTACCTCCATAAACACCCTATGACCGCATGAGGATTTGGGGAGACATCCAGACACAAATCATAACATGTATATAAAAATATGTGTAAGTTATGACTTATTTTTTGCATTGACCAATAAAATATCACAGCTTCATTGTCTTACACCACAATCAACTTAGAAGTACACTTCTGTTGCATAGATTCATTTTAGTAAAACAATTATTTTACTCTGCTGGTATGCTCCTCCAGTGTTCATGTTCTTATTTTCACTTGCTTTGAGAATATTTAATTTTAAGTTAAATATATAGTAGTGTTTGCAATGAGATCAAATCAAAAAATTCACCTCTGACACAGAAATTTAAAAGCTCTTCCTGGGCTTGCCTTGGCAGCACATATAGTAAAAGCTCTTTCTAGGTTCTGTAATTTAGATTACACAGTTTTGAACCATTATTAGAATGAGCTGATTTTCTGTTTGTGTCACCTGCTCACACTAATATGAAGCTGTCATCCATTTAACTGTTGGCGAAATTCCCCTGCTAATGGTGTCAGGTCTTCGGTGGCAATGCTTTACATTTCTTGGAAGTCTCAAAAATGGAATCTCAAAAATGAAGTTGACTGATGTTAGGACAACTTTCATCTGACCTAACTGAAAAGTCATGCTGCATGGAATGATATACAAGCACATTTTCAGCAGCTACGTGTGTTGTGGCTTGTGTTCAGCATCATCTTTTTACAATAAAGTTTCCCTTTGGACACAGATGTGGCTGTTCAGATTTCTGCCTTCTGGTTGTCTAACAGCCAGAGTCAGCGTTAGAGGCCTATGGTAGACGTGTACTTCAGGTGTTACATGCTCACCCACCTTCCTGAGAAACATAACATCAACGTTTAATTTATATTAAACACAAGGGCACTAAGCCCTTGCTTCTGAAGTGGTTTATCATAAAGTAAAATAAGCGTAACCAAATAATAAGCGGAGTTGTGGATAGACATCAAATAATAAACAACCCAACTAGCGCAGTGAGAGGCTGGGCCTGCTCAGCCTGTTTCCCGTGTGTTTATTTCATTTACTCCTAATCTGCATTGACCCCATTGACTGGGATCCTGGCAACTGCCAGCTTCTCACGGGTCATGGCAGGTGCCACCCAGAAGGGGCCACCACTGGCCAAGGTACCACACCCGGTGGGTGGCAGGGTCTCCAGCATCACCTCCACCTCCCACCACCACTGGAGCAGAGAGGAGCCCGCTGTTTACGGCTCGTGTCCAAGTGTCACCCTTTGATCAGCCACTGCCGGCCCAAGGCATTTCAGAGGAAGATGCACGTTTCCTTGAGATTTGAAAAGCTGAGGAAGGAGGAATGGGCCATGTTTCCAGGGTTGCCTTGTGTCACGGTGGGAACTCTGCCAACGGTCCCTGCCCTTACACCTTACTGTAAAAGAGGCCATGTCAGCAGGGGAAGACTACAGAAGGGTCTTACAAAACCTCCTGTGACACAGCTTCTGATAAGGAGACTTCTTTGTGTGTGTGCTGCTGGGGATCAAATCCAGGGCCTGTGCATGCTGGGTAAGGGCTCTACCACTCTGCATGACAGCCCCACTGGTGCTCTCTGAAAAGGAAAAGCCCAAGACAAATACTAACGTGGCCTGAATGCTGAAACAGCTGGACAAAGCCATGACTCGTGGTCACCCTAAGCCTAGATTTGTCCTGGACACCAGCACATGAACCGAGCTCATTTAAGCTTTCATCCACATTTCTGAGGAAATGACTCTTGTGTTCTGGTCTCATTAATTCCACCTTAACCTGCATCGTTGTGATATTTTTATCAATGTCCTCACTGGTCCTGGACCAATGTTTCTCTGTCCATTCTCCGCATGCCTACCGTACTTTCCCTTCCCAGGAACTATTATTGTGTCTCATCATACCTTGCTGCAAAGTCTTTCCCTGGCCCCCGTTCCTGGAGAGTGACCTCCAGCCTCCTCTCCGCAGTCCTCATGGAGTCTGCTCCTATGCCCTTCCAGATTCATCTCCTGCTTCTCTCTCACATGGATGCTCCACCGCGGTGCTCATCACCATAACCTAAAAGCACTTGCTATTTTCTCTTCGTGCTCTTACTTCCTTTTAGAATCTTGCCCCTAATTTGGACCCTACCTTTTGAAACCTATTTATTTTTAAACCTAGTAACCTCTTCAAGAATCCTTCTTTGTTTCCTATTTAGAAATGTTCTCAGTACACCCTGAGCTTCTGCGGCGATGTGGGGCTCACAGGGCTGGTCTGCTAGCGCACACCACCTCACTTCCCCAAGCTGTCCACTGCGGGCTTTGCAGGACAGAGATGCTCTCCTTCATCTTGTGATACCCAATGATGCCATCTAGCACACTGGGTTTTGAAGATGCTGATATGTCACAACTATTCTTTGAGTGAAATAATAACGAATGCCCCATGAGCTCATACTGACGTAATTACACAGAGAGTCCTCCTTCTAGAAAAACTAGGATGTCTAGCCAGGAGGAATGGCCACATTTAAATCTCTTTTTAAATGTGCTGGCCATTTACTTTGTAAAAACAGTGTAAATAGCCCGGGCATTTTCTTCAGCTTGCCACAGGATCAGCTGTGCTGATTAACTGTGGGCTTCATGAGTACTAAACAGGACGAATCTCGTCCCATTTTACCACTTTGATTTCCCGTACAAGACGGAACAAATGCTGTAAAGACACAAGGTTTGTGTTTGTGCCTCTGTGTGTATATCTCAAACAACGGGTTCACATCTAACACGACAGTGGTTACCTTTAACAGGGAAGGCAGTGGCTATGGAATTGCATATGAAAGTCTCTTCACTTCTCTGTTGGTTTAATATTTTTGTGATGAGCATATATATTATATATTGTATGTGAAATAGAAAACAATGATAATTTTACCAGAATTCTTATTTCTGCATTGCTCTATGTGAATATCTTTGATATGCAAACTACTTCCAAAGAATTATTTGGAACACTCAAGAAATGGAGAGAACAAAAATGTGGCTCAGTGCTTTTCATGATCTGCCCCATAATTATTTTTAATGATCATACCACAGTAGGAAAATAAATATATTCATGACTAATTAAAATACAAACATCTTCAAAGCAGAATAATATTAGAAAAAGAAAGGAAAAATAGAAAAACAGAACTTCTGTTAAGATTTTTATAAGCCATATAAATTCCACATGTAAACAGTTTTCAATTGTTAAATCCACTCACTATCATAAGATCTGAAAAATGTTGAGAGTTACATCAGTAAATATGCAAAAATATTTAAACACTTAATTCCTTTTTTTTTTTAGTCTATTGTTTTTTTTTTTATTTAAGGAGAAAAGAAAAAAAACCAGTGAAAGGGTACAAGTTATACAGATTTACAGAAGAAAAAAATGAACAGTAGGAAATCACTAGTTAATGGAACACTTAATTCCTTAAGAGACAACCAGTGTCAGCCATAAAACAAAATGAAAACCTCTGGAAAGCCAAAAGGTTGAAAAATTGGAAATTAAAAAGCAAATGACATGCTTAGTGCTACTGAGGGACTTCAGCAAAGGGACGGAAGCCCATCTGAAAATAAGTACAAAGTTTGTGTAATCACACCTAACCTAAAGATGGGGTTAACATTTATATATCTCCTGGGACGCTTTGTGAGTCGGGAAGATAAAACCAAGCACCAGGAGGTTGTTGAAATATTGCTTCCCGCCGTACCGCAGAACTTGAGTGGAGAATAAACATACCTATGACTTGCAGGGCCGGTTCCACGTTGGCAGTGGCCTCCTCCAGCAAGGACAGCAGCTTGGCTGATATCTCATGCACAGATTCGATGTTGCTAAACAAGCTCTCCACATCCAGCCTTTCAACCTGAAGAAAAACAAATATCCGGCCCAGCCGATGAGCAGAGAAGCACTATGCTGAGCGCGATTTCCCCTGCCAAACAGGACGGACTTCACAGCCAGCCCTTGTGCCTCTGTTGGTTGTTTGTATAAACATTCTTTTTAGGTTTTCTGGAGCATCCAGGGAGCTTGTCACTCAGGAAACAGGGATTATGAGTGTTACCTCTGTCTTTTTCGTACTTTGGCTATGGTCAGAGTTACGTGTACGACTACATATGCAGTTAAGTACCAGAATGGGAAGGAGATTGAGGCTTACTGTATTTCTATTAGCTACCCTTTGTGAGGGTATATACTAGTGTGCATGGGTTTAGAATATTTTACAACTTTCACAGCAGAGGTCAGGTTTATCCTTGTTGAGTAACTATGTTCAAAGCTTGCTTTTAAACCATAGGTATTCTAAAAGTGATGGCCAATAAATGTGGTGGGTTACTTCTTGGAAAAAAATATGAATGGGAATATTCATCAAATGTAGAATAATTATGTAATTTCATGCACACCCGGAAAATCATTCTGTAGATCCATGGAACAAGTCTTAGATCTTATAGATGGTGTTTATAATAATGTGCTTATTCAGTGATCCATTCTTGCATCAAATATTTCCTGAGCACCTATACATGGCTGGACTGGTAATAGAGCCAGACTTTGTCCTAGGTAGAGAACCATTAGGAGAGGAATGGACAAATGTCCTCGGTGATCAGAGATACATGCTCAGATTTTGCTGGGTCTCATTCATAACTTGTTCTTGTAGTTTTCAGTCAATTCCCCCACCATCAAAGTGTCTTTTCACACCATGACCATATTAGTGTGGCTTCCACTAAGCTCAGTGTGGAACACAAATAGGTGATGTTACCCAAGAGATACTGCACATGAGTTCATGGCGAATGACCAAGTAATCAATCACCATGTCATGGAAGGGCTAGGGTGATGAGCAGAGTGACTGCACAAAACCAGGTCAGCAAAGTAGGGGCAGGAGAGACACAGACTCAAACTGAGGAAAGGGAGCCGAGAAATGACGAGAATTAGGAACACGGAAAATAAGGCCAAGAGTAGGATCTCTGCAGATAAAGGGCACCAGTGCAGCTGCTCCTGCATCACTTTCTCAGATGTGCTGCGTCTGTACTAAGCCGAGAAGGAAGCAGCCTGCTCATCTTTGTATCCTGCCTCTTTTTACCCTTGGTACACCGGTTGCTCCTAATTTTGGACATATACTGTGTTATTTTGGCAAGCGCGTTTCGGTACCAAACTGGGAAGCATGACTTCACCCTGCGCCTTTTTAGAATGTGGCATCGTCTGTCACGTCTCCCGCAACACGGTCACACTGCACATGACATTTCTTTTCACTGCCCCATGGAAACCCTCACTTTCCTGTCCTCAAGGAAATTCTCAGCCCCAGTACAAGAGTTTAGTTCCTGGATTGCATGCAGTGCTTTGTTTCAATATAGGTTAGAGATTTTTACTAATTTTATGCATTCTGAAATTATCTACACATCCACACTAATTATTACATTTCAATCACTGTTTGCTCTTGGGGTGTTGAATCCAGGGTGTCCCCCAATGTCCTTCCATTCAGCATTCACTTGAATAGGAGAGGGCACAGGAGGCTTTTTTCCCTGAACCTGGGGACATGCAGGTCTTCTCACTTCTGTGTTAGAAAGTACAATAATAGTACCTGATACTATATAAGGTATTTAAAGGGCATACAAGGGCTATCTGACTTTTTGTTAATTCCTACTTACACAATTATCATTTAATGATTATTTATTATTGTCAATTGTTCAAAAGTCACATATTTCTACATACTACTGATTAATGCCTTACTCTAAAGAATTTCGTTCTGTGTTGGACTTTTTTTCTTTTTGAGATAGGGTCTGGCTATGCAGTGAAGCCTGGCCTTAAACTCACTTCATAGCCCAGGCTGGCCTCAAGCTCCCAGCCATCCTCTTGTGTCAGCCTCTCTAGTTCTGGGATTACAAGAATTGGGATTTATTGCTGCTCCCAGCTGTGTTGGGTATTAATTAAATCCATATCTATATAGAGAAAGATATAGTCTCCAAAACTTGTATATGAATCAAGTTTTTATGGATGATTTACTTTTAAATGTATTGTTATTTATTTCTTCAAATCATTTCAAAAGAGGGAGGTACCTTTAAATTGTGAAACTTCATGTCCTAACTTTTTTGGTTTCTAACATACATGCTTAGACAAAATTCATACAGTGTATTCTCATTATTATTCCATTTTGTTATGGAAACAATTTTGTGAGCTTGGAGTGCTTTGTGTTTGTCATTTCATATGTTTGCTCTAATTTCTCTGCTAGGTATGAACCGATTGGAAGAAAAATAAACTAATGCAGCTTGAAGAGCGGAACTGTGCTCAGGATTACAGCAGGCCAAGTCAGAACTACAGTAGAACACTTACTTTTGCTTTCTATGTCTGAGCTCATTACCAGCAAATGCTAAGAGCTCTTTGGTACAGGTCTGCTTCGACTCGTTTTGGTTTGTTTTTGAGCTATTCACCAAGTTGTCATTTCTATGGTTTATTTCCCAAGGTCACTAGCCTGCATTTCTAATTTAGATTACAAATACATTTAGCAAGAATCTAATTCTACATTCTAACTATAATCTTAGCTCAGTGCAACAAATGCTAAATAACAAAAAGTTAGATTTTAATTCCATTTCCTCCTGAAGGACAGAAAGGATTAAAACATCAATTGGCCTGGTTTCAATCGTATCACCACGGGCCCATGGGATGCTGTGAATCATGACATGAATTCACATTCAGTCACTGTGCTGCTAAGGAACACACCAGCACCTGGCTCAAATCGGCTTTTAAAACTGAGAGATGATTTTATGATTGCTGATGTAAATTCAAGGAAACTTCCACAGATGCATTTATGAATCATTTACTAGAAACAGGCAAAGCTCTAAGGGCTAAAAGGTGAATTGTATTTTAAATTATTAAAATTTAGGGTTTTTTTTCCCAAAAAAAGGACTTAAAGTATGCACTATTCTAAGCCAAGACAACATATAATAATTCAAACTTATAAAACATAAAAATTCAAAGCCAGCATTTACATATGCCTTAATTCATTGCATTTATAAAAGCATTCATCACAGGATATACCTCAGATAGCAAGTTCGTATTATTACATTTAAATAATCACTAGACTTTAAAATTGGGTTCTATGATGCTTCCATTTTTTGTTTTGCTTAATATTTCTTTGGCTCTTGAGAATCTTGTGATTCCCCATAAATTTTAGGTTTGTTTTTTCTATTTCGGTGAAGAAAAAGATGCATTGAATCCTGAGTGACATCACATTGAGTTTACAGGATAAGCACATTACTGTTTTTTTGGACTTTAAACACTCATTATCTTTTGATTTATTTGTGTGTTTTTCAAATTCTTTCAGCAATGATTTAGCATTTCAGGGGCTTCAAAACTCACTATAAGCCTATAAAAATCAAATCAACATAATTGCAGCATAAAACTTGCCACACCGGCCAGTGGAACAGAAGAGAACCCAGAAAGAAATATCCATGCTTACAACCAATTAATTTTCAACAAGGATGCAAAGAGCATGTGCCTGGCGAAGAACCATCTCTTTAATAAATGATGCTGAGAAAACTGGCTGTCCACATGTAGAAGTGACCCTGGTCACTCTCCTTGCATTATGTCCAAAAAATCAACTCAAAGTGGGTTAAAAGTTTATAGAAAGGCCCCAAAACTATAGAATTACTGAAAGAAAAGAGGAAAAGCTCCACAATATTGATCTGAGCAATCATTTTTTGGGTATGACCCTAAAAGCATGGGCAACACAAGAGAAAATAGATGAAATTACATCAAACAGAGGTGCTGCTCAGCAAAGGAAACCATCAACAAAATGAAGAGACAAACTGCAGAGCTGGGAATGTATTTAAAAGCCATGTATCCAGCAAGGGGTTAACATCTGAGCGACGTGGAGAACTAAAACAAACAACCAAATGAACAAACAAACAAACAAACCTGATATAAAAATGGGCAAAGGAGACATTTCTCAAAGGAAAACACACAAATGGACAGCAAGCACATGAAACAGTGTTCAACGTAACAGATCATCAGAGAAATGCAGATTACAGTCAGGGCAAGACACCACCTCACACCTACTAGATGGCTTTAACAAAAGGATGAAAGCAACACGTGGGAATCAGGATGCAAGAAAGGGAAACCCTAGTACACTGCTGATGGAAAGGCAAATTACTTCAGCCATGACAGAGACTAGCAGGAGAGGATGGCCAACAAAAATTAAAATTAAAACTGCCCTAGGATCCAGCACTGCCTCTTATGGAGATGTACCCAAAGGAACTGAAATCAGAATGCTGACGGACATCTACCGTACGTTGATTCCACACCTTAGTTGTGCGGTTGTGAAAAGTGCAACAATCAAAATAGGCAATGCAGGTGTTTCTGCTGAGATCATTTTGTTTTGTATACACTCAGATTTGGCACAGTTGCAGTTTATGGTAAATCCAGGCTTAGTTTCCTGAGGAATACCGCACCGTTCTCCGCAGTGGCTGTACCACCAGCAGTGTATGAGAGTCTCTTTTTCTTCTACATTCTTATCAGCATTGTTATGTATATTTTTAACAATGCTGAATTTTAACAATAGCCATTCTAACTGGGATGAGATAATGTGACTTTTGACTTGCATTTCTCTAATAGCTGCTGAATTTGAGCAATTTTTTCATAGATTTTTTGGCCATTTAAATTCCTTCTTTTGAGAAATGACTGTTTATATCCTAAGGTGATTTTTAATTACATCATTGACTCTTTGTTATTGAGATTTTATGTTCTGAATATTAATACCTCGTTAGATGGAAAATTTGCAATTTTTTTCTCCTCTAAGTTAACTGGGTTTCTTCACTCTTCTACGAATATTGCTCTGTATTACTAATTGTTTATATTGAAGCCCATTATATACTTATATCAGGA